TTTACAATCAATTTGCTTATTTGTTATTTTTTGTTTAGATATTCATTTAAGATGTGATAGACAAATATGGGAAGGGTATATCAGACTCTAATTAGGTAAGACATTCTCATATGGCTGGTTGATATTAAGAGCGAAATTATGGTCGGAGAAATTTTGAAAGCATTTGGATACACAAAGGGAGATGGTAGATTTATTTTTGGAATGATCCTTGGTGCAAGGATGTTGTCTCAAATGTGTATTTCCAGACCTATTCAGCATCCTAATGGATGAAGATGGCTATATGAGTAAGTCAGAGCCGAGTGGTGTGGAACTCATGCTTTGTTACGATCGTGCAATATTAGGAGTTAGACTTGGTGATTCGTCTTTCCCATAGTACGTTGCAGCTTCTATCCTGATCTATAGAGAGAATTTGTCTTTATACATACTGCAAAGTATCTCAAAACTCAAGGTAAGTGAAGGAACTATGGTATTATTATAATATTATCATAAAATCTTATTTTTCTATGGAGGCTTAGAATATTATCAGATATTCATGTAAGATGTGAGAGATCAAACATACATTGATTGCGGACCTCGTGTCGACCAGGACCACCGGTATCCATTTCTTTCTACATTCCACAGAGATGTAGAGTGGTTTGTTATGATCTGAGCCCTCGGACGGTAGTTCCTTGCCGGTGAAGGTCAAGGTCAAGGAAGTTCCTTCCGGGAAAACCAACCCTACCAACTACTCAGGTGTGGTGTCTATTAAAAGTTTCGCCTTGTCCATTGTAGAAAGGATAGCTTGTTTGTGAACCCTCGAGGCCATAAGCAGTCCCCAGATGGAGATGTCTGCTTAGATTTTCTTAAGCTGTTTCAATACAGCCTTCTCCTCCAACAATTTTTCTTTTTGCCTCCCTGCCTCTTTGTCCTTCCCGGACGCTTCTGGTTGATCTAAATATGGGGGCTTGACATACCTCCCACTCCTGGTCATATGGTCGACCTCCTCAAATATACCAGGTAACAGTTTTGTGTAAAGCCCTATCCCATAAGGATTCTAAAAATATATATGTGTATATATATATATATATATAAAAAGAGGTTGTATATTTTTGAGATTGTGGAGCTTACAAAGGTGAAGTCTACAAAAAGAGCCCATACAACAGCCAGACCATTAACAAAAAAAAAAAAAATCCATGATGGCCTAAAACAAATCTATTGTAAAAAAAAATAAAAATGTGGCAAGTTGGAGGCCCACAAAAGAAAAGGCCCAATTAAAAAATGGTGGTCTAGAAAAGAAAAGGTCCATGATGATTTAGAAAAATCCATGATGGCCTAGAAAACAATTTACTGCAAAACAAATAGTGGCAAGTTGGAGGCCCATAAAAGAAAAGGGCCCATTAAAAAATGGTGGCCTAGAAAAGGAAAAATCCATGATGGTCTAGAAAAATCCATGATGGCCTAGAAAAAAAATCTGCTGTAAAAAAAATGGTGGCAAGTTAGAGGCCCACAAAAGAAAAGGCCCAATTTAAAAAAAATGGTGGCTTAGAAAAGAAAAGGTCCATGATGGTTTAGAAAATCCATGATGGCCTAGAAAACAATTTACTGCAAAAAAAATAGTGACAAGTTGGAGGCCCACAAAAGAAAAGGCCCAATTAAAATGGTGGCCTAGAAAAGGAAAGGTCCATTATAGCCTTAAAAAAAAAAAAGAAGAAATGGTGGCAAGTTGGAGGTCCACAAAAGGAAACGTCCAATTAAATCTTGGACCTTACTTATGACCCTTAAAAAAAAAAAATTAAAAATAAATAAATAAATAAATAAATCAAGTCCACAAAAAGGACCCATGCAACAGAAGTAAATGGCCCATGGACTATAAAGGGCAATTAACCCTTTATTTAAAAAAAAAAAAAAAAAGAGGCTAGGGACGAAAGCAAAGAAATAATCCCATCCAAGACCTAAAGATCATCCACATAAAAGTGCCAAATTGTCGTGACTCGCACAGTTAAGAAAATTCACTTGTGCAAGTCACGAGGGGCATTTGTTGGCACATAAATTTTAAACCAAATTTATGTTTAAATTTCAAATACAGTCAATGACACGTGGAGCTTACGAAAGATGACACCTGTAGAGCCTACAGCAAAGACAATAAGATTGTTGTAGGCAATCACTTCCCAAAATAATTAACTTGTTCCGTTGAAGTGTATAAATAAAACAACGTCGTATCTTAACGACGTTATTCAAGATGCTCAAATGACACGTGGAGCCTACGAAAGATGACACCTGTAGAGCCTACAGCAAAGACACCACACAGGATGAAACCCCAAAGATCAATTCGGTTAATCAGATATACGATTAATCAGATAGCGCTATTATTCAAAATTTAAATGGCGTTATCATTCAATTTGAAATTCAAAATGAAGATGAAGCGTTCCTATCACCTGATGGCCCTCCATAAATATAAGAACCATCACACAAGACCGGGGGATCGAAAAATCAAAGAGGGAAAAGATCAGAGAGAGAGAGAAAGAAATTGAGAGCTAAAGAAGTCGTTACAAAAAAAAGAAGAAGAGAAGCCTAGAGAACTGAAGAGCCTACGCTAATGGCGATGAATAGGTAAAGGGTTCCAAACCCAAACTGTATTTTGTATTCGAGGGTTCAGAACCCATAACAATCTCAATAAAATATTTCTTTTTTTTTTAATTTGTCATTTGTTGTTTATTTTGTTCTTCATTAATCGGAGGTTTCATTTGTATAAAATGTGTAATTAACGATCTGAAATACAGATCGGAAATAAGAACCTGCTATTCAAATAATCAACACTGTTTAGTCCAAAAACTAAACAGTGGACATTTGTAACATAAATTTTGAAATGTGTTTAAACACTTCATGTTTTAAAATTTGTGTCTACAAACATATAATCACACATGGTCACACAAACATGGACATAATAACATGAAGATTACAGAAAAGAACATATAATCACACATGGTCACTGCCTGGATTTTTTTATAGACTATTTTACTTTTATTTGCTGAAGGTTTGAGACAAATACTACAGATGAGTTACTTGTGATTACTGTTTAGTATGCCATTTGGAATTGTATAAATGATAAGCAGCATGAAAACAATTTTTGATGATATGGAACCTCCTACATGAGTACTTCACAATTCTAGGAACATGCAAATATGCAAGCAAGCTTTTTGCCTGATTATATTGAACTTTTATATTCTCTGCAGCCTGTAGCACTAGCTGCTTAAATTCTGTTCAAACCCTCCATCTTCTATTGTGTATCCCATATTTGAGTATTTGACCTTGACACGTGTGTTGCTTGGTGCAATTTATATTTATGGATGCTTTTATTATTTTTTTATTTTATTTCGGAGTTTGCACTAAATATTTTTTGTATAACTTCTATTTACATTTTAGGATACTAGGGCCACAAGTCCAAATTTAAAAATTTTGGGTCCCAAATTTTATTCATTTTTATCTATATGAGGAACAATAATTTGAATTATTTTTATGTATGTTTGTCCACTTGTCTGTTCATGGTTGCCACTGATCATTGGCAACTTTTTCAACATGAGCAAAATTTTGGCAATTTTCCCATCCGGGCGGTGGCAGTGGGGGACAATTAATAATAGTGTGTAAAAATATATAAAGAAAGTAGAGATAGAAAAGTACAAAGTATAAAAACGAAAATAGGTAAATAAATTAAAACGATGATTTGTACTTTTCACCATTATATATTTGATAATCTATATGTTTAAAATCAAAACAAATCATTAATGATAGACATCATATTGTACATTGCTCTTCCATCAAGTATTGGTGTTGATAACATATCTTCATTTGGGGTTTGGGTGTCACCCTTTTCAACTTGTGACTTTCTCTTTCTTGAATCGAAGATGATGAAAAGTCCGATGAATGCACCTAAAAGTAAGAGTGTTCCACCAAGAGGGAGCACGATTATAAGAACAAGTGTCCCTTTTTGTAGAGTGTGTTTGTGCATTGAAGAAGGAATTTTGCAAGGCTGCAAGCCTTTGACATTTCCACATAGACCTTTGTTCCCTTACAGTGCTTCTATTGATGCATTCATGAAGGCGTTGCTCTTAGGAATAGGACCTTGCAACTGATTGTACGATATATCAACACACGCCAAGTCACGCATATCTTCAAAACTCTTTGAAATGAGACCAAAGAGTTTATTGTGGGAGAGGTTCAACTTCTCCAAGCTCCCCAAATTTGTGATTTCCAATGGTATTTCCCCTATGAGAATGTTATTACTCAAATCCATCTCAGTTAGTTGAAATAGCTTACCAATCTGTAATGGGATTTTCTGGTTTAACATATTGTTGCTCAGGTTCAAGTAAAATAGATTTCGATAATTCTCCAAAATACCTGGTATTGGCCTACTAAATTTGTTTGTGGATAGATCAAGTTTCGACAACTTAGTTAGTGATCTGAGTTCTTGAGGTATCCAACCCGAAAGCTGATTATCAGCCAAAATCAGCCACTCCAAAGAAGTCAACTTTCCAAATTCCTTTGAGATCTCCCCAACTAAACGATTTGAAGATAAATCAAGTCGTTTTAGGCGTGTTGACTTTCCAAACCCTGGTGGAATGCTACCAGTGATGCTATTTCTTGCTATTTTTAGGAGTGTCAAATTTGGAAATATTCCCCAATTTTCTAAGAATTTGCCATAAAAATTATTGTTACTCAGATCTAGGTAGACCAGGTTTGGATTAGTGCCAAAATCTTCAAATATATTTCCAGTGAGTTGGTTTCCCTCAAAGCGGGCTGTGGCTAAGCTTGAGCAGTTTCTCAGACTTTGGGGATTGTACCTGTGAGCTGATTGTGGTGCACTGCAAAGTATTGAAGTTTACCACCTTGGCAAAGCTCTGGGAGATTCCCAGAAAATTGATTTTCATCCATTACTAGCTCAACCAATTTTTTCAAATTGCGAAATTCTTGTGGAATGCGGTTGGATAGTCGGTTGGAACGGAGGTTTAGAATGTCTAAATTGGTCAAATCACCTAAAGAAGCTGGAATGGGACCACTAAGTTGATTCGAACTCAAATCCAGATAAATGAGGGACTTCAAGTTCCCTAATTCCTTAGGAATTGGACCAGAGAGTTGATTATTCCAAAGGTGTAGTTGGGCTAGAGAGCTTAAATTACCTACAGATGTTGGGATTGAGCCAGTAAGATTGTCGGTCTGAAAGGTTAGGCTCTGTAGTGATTTCAACTGTCCTATCTCTTGGGGAATGGAACCAGATAGGGAATTTTTGAACAAGCTCAACACAGTTAGGTTATTCAAGTTTCCCAATGTGGAAGGAATAGAACCTGTGAGATTGTTGCCATCCATGTAGAGCTCAACAAGATTGACTAGGTTTCCCATTTCTGGAGGAATGGAACTAGAAAGATGATTTCCATAGAGGTATAGACAAGTCAAGTTTCTCAATTTGGTTAAAGAAGTAGGAATGGGACCGGAAAGACTGTTGGTGTACAAAGCAAGCTCAATTATAGACTTTAACTGGCCTATCTCTTGAGGAATTGAGCCATTCAACTGATTATTGAACAAGTGGAGAGTTTCAAGATTTGTTAGCAGGCCGATTTCTAGTGGGATGATTCCTGAGAAGTGGTTGGTGGACAAATCAAGATAGATGAGTTTGAAGAGGGAACCAATTAGAGGTGGGATGACACCAAAGAATTTATTGATGCTGAGCTCGATATATGCAAGATTGGGAAACAATAAAAATGAAAAGTTGTCGAGCGTACCATTTATACTTGAACTTGTGAGGTTCAATCTAATGACGCTTCCATCAAGGTTGCAAGAAACTCCAAACCAATTGCAGGGACTGGCATTTGTTGAGCCATTATCATGGGGTGGAAGGACACATGAAGTTAGTAGGGAATCGTTTGCACTTCGCAGGCTGGTTTTCCATGTGAGGAGAGCATTAGCTTCTTCAGCAGAAGCAGAAGCAGAAGCAACTTTAATGGTTGAAGAAAAGGGTGTAACAAACAGGACTAAGGAAAAAAGGCATCGTAGTTTCTCCAAAGGTCCCATTGCTTTCTTTTTTTCCTTTTTTTCCCCCTTTAGTGGATGACTAATGGTTGTCTCAAGGCTCTAATTTATACACAAATTTATTTTCCAATGGTACCCATATTGTTTATCCCATATAGACTTTGAACTTGGAAGTCTTTGTAATTGGGTCTCATATATGTAATTTTGTAAGAAGAAAACAGAAAAGCTTAAAGCTCAGTCATAAATAACTGACAAATTCAATTTTTCTAGTATTTTTTTTTTATATTTTTACAAAATATATATATATATATATAGTTACAATGTTAATATGGGTTGTATAAAAAAATATTTTTTCTATTTTTCACAACTTTCAAGATAAATAAACTCATAAAAGTTCTTCTTCTTTTTTTTTTTTCTTTTTTTCTTCACTTTCTACTTATTTTATCTTAAACAAGGTGTTTGAGAAGAAGGTTTTTTAGTTTTTTTTAGCTAAAATAACACTAAAAGACAAAATAGGTTAAAATAGTTAATAAAATAAAGGGAGACTTATTTATAAGTCATTTTTCAGACACTTATAATAGGCTAAGTCCTGTGTAATTTTTTATAGAGTCTCAAGTCCTATTTGAATAAGAATGTATTCCACAAGATCCTACATAAACGTAATGTGACGTGACACTTACATAAACGTAACGTAACGTAACGCGACACCTATATAAACATAACTGTTGGCCTTTTGGCTTTCGAAGGTTATTTTTGTAATTGTGAGCACGCCAGCAAGGATCAATCAGTCCTTACAGAAAATTAATTGCCAACCAATTATCAGACGATTGTGTTTTAGTTCTTTCAGGCTCAATGAAGAGGACTTTTACAGGTGGCTTGATTTAGGAGAATTAAACAAGATAACAATTAAATGAAGAACAATTGAAGCATTTCATTAACATGAAAACTTACAATGATCCAAACTCAGCCTCGTAAAGGTTTACAGCAACAATCTATTACTTGAAACTACTCCTATGAACGAAGTGCAGTGCAGGAATTTAAAGTACAGGAATGTAAAGAACAGGAAATGTAAGACTGAAAAACTGGGAAGGAAAATAAGTAGAATAAGATTGGTTTTTTAGATCTGAGTCTGGGGGTCTTTTTCTGGGCCTTCTCTGCTATTTATACTTCTCAAGGATGACCATCGAACTGCATTTCCAATTGTCGAACTGCTCTTTCATGATCGCTGATCATGTTGCCTTATAATTAGCTCCACGGTGCCATCACTTGCAGTTAGGCTTCCCTCATAAATTTGAATTTAAATGTGAGTAACTGTTGAAGCCACATTACCATGCATCTCTTTGTTGATCCACTGCTACTCAGATCTCGCAATAACCAATACTAACTGCCACGTCTGCGATCAGGATCGAAGACTTGAATAATCTTTCTGTATTACCCTTATTCTGCCACGCGTCGAATTGTAATTGGCTTGTACAAAATATGTAACCAACATTACCCCCCGCACTAATATGCCCAATACTTGGTGATATTAGTGGATCAAGGTCTTTTATCCACGTCTTAGAACGTGCATGGGCTTTGCATTCTTCCAGAAATGCAACTGTCATTCATCATCTGCATTAAACTCTACTTCAATCTTTTGAACACTCCCACCACCTTAGTATTCGAACAGACTGATACATTTTCTATGGCCGAATCAATTTTCTCCTCCATTGATCGAGCACACGAAGAGTCATCTGATGATGCTGTTCCTCCTCGAAAGAATCTCTATGCATTAATTAGCCACCTTTACCCACCTTTCTATATTCAGGTCATGGATGCCTTTGCAAATTATCAACCCTTGGGCTACGAACACATTGTCCTTAATCCTTTGATTCAGAAACTTACAAATATGGACATGTGAAGTTCTTCTTCTGACTCACCCTTGGACTACGAACAAACTGCTCTCAATCCTTTGATTCAGAAAGTCGCAAATATGGACATGGGAAGTTCTTCTTCACAACCCTTTGCATGGGATAAGGCTGCAGCTTCTTCTTCCTCTGGGGCTTCTGACTGGACAAGCTGGTCAAAACCTGAGGCCTGTGATTTAAGAGAGCGAATCAACCATCACTTTGTCGAGTTTACTGACCTTTTAGAGTTCTCTTCCTATACGCGAAGCTCGGTGGTTTATCTTTATGTGCCCATCGACCGTCGACGCAGTTTGGAGGAGAATCTGCTTGTAGCATAGTACACATCCTCGATGCCTACAAAGATAGTGCACACTGCCCGATGCCCCGAAGAGGCACAAGGGTACAATCTATCGTTCTTAGCCCAAAAGGCGAAGCTTTGCTTTTCTGACTGGCTCGATTATATTAATGCCCTTGTTCCTTCTGCCCTTGCTCCTTTTCCTGAAGTGGAGGCTTCCATACCTTCTCCTCCGCCAACTCCTTGCTGGACAGAGAGACTGAGGCTTGCCCTCTCCGCGGATAAGGTCTTTCCACCTTACAAGCCTTCATCTCCCCCTACTCCAGCTGAGCGGAAGCAAGCCCAGTTCCTGCTTGCGGCCTTCTCTCACTTGCCTTTTAGTGTTCTTGAGGACAAAGTCCCTCTCAAGAACCTTCGATGGGCTAGTGATATTCTGACTCAGGGTCATGTCCTCAATCTCCTCGCCCAAGCAGAGCTTCACATGTTTTTGGACCAACTTCCACTACTTCTCCACTGGCATCGGACCTCTATAGCCACCACTCAATCTTTGGACCAACTCTCGTCCCTTCGAGTTCATGCCCAGTACGAAGCAGAGAACTTCATTGAAGAATTTGAAGACTTTAAGAATAAAGATTCTGCATACTGGGATGACTCGGATATAGACGAGTTGGAACAAGGATTGAGAGAAACAGCATTCGAAATAAAGGTTGAAGAGCTCTTTTATGAAATGAGAGCACATCAACTTATGCAGCCAATTCTGAAAGAAATAGAGGATAGAATAAAGAAAGAACAGAAATTCATTGATCATAGTTGGACCAAATTTCACGATCTTGTTATTTATTCTATTCCCTACTTTTATGAGCTTGAATTTGTACCCAAAGAGGGCCGTTTAATGTAATTGCTTTTGCTTTAACATAACTAAGACTTTTGTTTGTTTGGCATTGTTTCATCTTGTCTCCATTTGTCTTTAAAAGCAAATTTAGGGCTTCGAACTGGACATTTTATCCTTCGAATCTAGACTCAATCGTTTTAAATGAAACACAAAAAAAAATCAATATGGACTTTTCCAATTTATGGAATAAAGTTGACAGTTTTGCTAATTTTCATTTAGAATCAGTGCTTCCAATTTTAACAATCTTACCCCGTAAAGCTTGTTTTAATCATAACCAACATATGGTCATGGTTAGTATGATCAATCAATTTTAAATTGACTTTCTTTCCTTCGAACAACAGTCCATACTTTCAAAAATATGGAAGCTCCTTTTGAGGGCTGCACTGTGTTAGTTCAAAAAGAAAATATCTTTTTGTATATATATATATATATAAACCAACTAATGGTTTTGATATTTCGAACACCAATTCCCATTCTTAAGGGGTCTCAAGTTTTGCTTCGAAGGACATTACTCTCATTAAGAAACCTAAAACAAGTCTTTAATCCCTTTGAAGTAAACAAACACTTGAGCATTCTTACATCCTCAGGTATGGAATGTGCTTCGAAGTCGGTTTCGAAACCGTTTGTTATTTGACTTTTGGCGCCAAAATCTGGTTTCGAAGTCAAATGTTTACTTCGAAGCTGGCATCAACATCTGGGATGTGGTTTTTGTTTTTCCTTCCAAAAATATCAATATTGAAGGAAACTCTTCGTATTTGTACTTTTAGTACTTAACGAATTACGTGAACAAATACTTGAGCGTTCTTACATCCTTAGGCATGGAATGTGCTTCGAAGCCGTTGTTATTTAACTTTTGGCGCCGAAATCTAGTTTCGAAGCTAAATATTTTACTTCAAAGCTGGTATCAACATCTGGGATGTGTTTTTCCCTCCAAAAGTATCAATATTGAAGGAAACTCTTCGTATCTGTACTTTTAATACTTAACAAATTACGCGATACATTTTTCAGACACAAAGGTTTTTTAAAACCCTTTGATTTCGTGATTTCAAATCACTTACTCGTTTAACACACAAACCCTTTATCTCTACTGACTCTCTACTCCCTTTCCCAACTTCATCCTCTGAGAAAGCTTTCAATCAATGGCTTCTTCTTCATTGAAAGTACCAGTTGTAGAGCGTGCGAGCCCGTCTGTAACCCTGAAAAGGATTATTGAGGCAGAATGTGAAAAGTACAAGGCCGGTGAGAAAAGCGCCATCGATGGACGCATCTTCATCCCTCGACGTCATGAGCAACAGGACTATGTGCTTGGGCCCATCTTCAAGGAGATTCTTACTGAGCTTCCAGTGTTATATCCACGTCTAGAAGACCACTGTCTCCTTTACGAAGGTGATTTTGACTAGGGAACCTAGAGAATGAACCGTCCCCACCAATGTTGGCCCATGGTGAGACCGGAGTGGCAAGAATGGTATGATCGGGTTGTCCCTGCTAGGACTTTGGACCTATAAGAGCTCTGCCTTCTCGATGCCCTTCGACTATCCAGGTTTACCATCTCAGAGGACCCTTTCCTAATTCCTGCTGCCCTTTGCTTTTGGAATTCTGCTTTTAATTTTTTTCAATTCAGATGTGGGATAATGGCCCCTACTGTTCTTGATATTTGCCATCTATTAGGATTGTCTCCTATTGGTACCCCCATTGGACCAGATTATCCTGACTTATCAGTCCCCTTTTCTCTCCCCTCCCTTCACTCATCCTACAGTGATTTTGTCAAGGCTAATAATAAAAGGGAGGGCCTTGTATCTGATAGGGAATTCTTTTCTTTCATACTATATTGGCTTTGCAAATTCCTTTTTTGCACTTCTTCTCAAAGAATTATGCTTGAATTTGCCCCTCTTGCCAAAGCTTTTGTCCTACAGAAAAAGGTGGCCCTAGCTCCATATGTTCTAGGTCATGTGTATAGAGCTTGTTCTTT